TGATAGCCTTAATCTGCTTCCTTTTACTAGTCTTATCTGACTATAAAGTTTAATTAGATTTTGCCTCTTACATGACTACAGAGAAAGGAGCATCATCCATTAATTACCACCATCACCACTGCCTGGCATTGCACTCCAGCTAGGTGAGGAGGAACCCTCTGTTTGGGCAGAAGGTGAAGAACACAAGCACAGAGAAGGCAGCAGCATGAGCAACACAGCTGCTAGAATGATCAGCACAGTTTTCTGCCTCTGCTGCTTCCCAGGGTTGAAAGTTTCCCACTGCCCCCAAGCCTGCAAAGCAGAGACTTCCATATTATCACCCCTGTCTGTGCTGATAAAGGAACTGTTCTGGGTACATAACATCTGGAGTGTCTGTAAGGATGACACAATTTACAGAACTCCCTCCTGGAAAGCTGCAGAGATGTAAACCAAAGGTTGTACTTAGTAACAAAACTCAGTCTTCCCTGTAAAAAAAATCTCAGTATTTTCACAATGCTGAGGGGTCTGTTACAATTACAGTGACAGCACCTGGGCCAGGACAGCTGGACAGATGGTCACTACATTGACAGAACTGCTAACAAAAAGGAGAAGCAGCTCTGTGTGCATGCTGGCCCTACCAGGGAAAGTTCCATTTTTAGGTAAGTCTTTGCTAGTTAGCTATTCAGCTGTCTGTACCTTGTGCTTGTGCAATAAAGGCAGGGCATGTGTTTGAGCACTGTGTACTGTCCATATTTTTGTGTTGTTAGCACAGATTAGCTGTAATTTTAGTGTGTGCAAGTTAGTACTCCCCAAGACAGCAGCTGGGAAAGGTCTGGGCCAAAGACCTTTCACAAAAGGGAATATGGGTACTGCCACCCTGTTCCAGTGGTTTCATCTGATAAGAGTGAGCTGTGCTGTGCCATGTAGCCTCAAGCCCAGACCACAGTTCCTGGCCCACTTTATTTTCTTGTACAAACATAATTACTGATAGCAATGAAAAATATTTGGGATTATTGTTTTTTCAAGTACTAATTCTGATTTTCTTCTCAGTAGAGAAGATACAGCTCTTTATGTTGGTTAAGTATGAAACCCAGGTCAATGGTAAAATCTTTATCAGAAACCATTCTTTACCCATACACAAGTCATAAACTGTTAGTACAGCTGTTAGTACAGCTCTTTACATAAAAATATATGAAGAAGAGAAGAGGCAGCACTGGTGGCAAGACTGAAAAATCATTTGGTACAACAGAACAGGTGTGCCATTCTCCATTGCACAAGGAACAATTAAATATATTAGAATTCATTCCAGAGGATTGCTAAAACACGTGGCTGCTAGAGGAAATATGTCTCAAGTCTGTAAAATAACTGGACTGCAGAACTGTTGAAAATGTCCAGTGGAATGTTCAAGATTTGAATGGGACACAGTGAGAATTATTTCTTCACATACAATTCAGCTGGGCTTGGGGGTCCCTTGACAAATGCTGCACGTGCCAAAAGTCTGCATGAGTTCTACAGCTAATTGGTCAAATTCATAGAAGAAAAGTCTGTCAAGTGATACTAATTTTGGAGGTGCCATCTCTTACTCTGGGCCACCTTGATATTCTGGTTCGTTAATGCTGGGTGAATATTCTGGGAAATATCACAAAAACTGTACAACTCCCAGGATATCTATTGTTGGCCACTGATGGAAACATGCTATGGTACTAAAAAGATCTTTCATCTCTATCAGTACGGTTGTATTATGTTTTTCCTTGTCTGCTCTGCTGCTCCACCATTAAACATGCCCGGGATCAGTTTTTCTCCTAAATTGATTATACAGCTGGGGTCATGGGGGACAAGAGACTCTTTCTCTGCCTTTCCCAAAGAAGACCAGAAAGTGGGGGTCGAGGAGACTCTCTCCCTTTGGTGGCAGGAGTCACAGGAAGAGGAGAAAAGAGAAACCACTCCATCCACAGGAAAGCTGAGGGATTTGAAGAGCTCTGTGTACAAGGGAGTCTTCATCTGCTCCCTGTTTCCTTCTCTGCTCTTGAGCTTATACTGGCATTTGGATGAAGAGAGGGAGTAATAACTTCCTGTACCAAATGGTCTCTCTTCTCCAGAAGGCTAATATATAGATCTCAGTTTGAATTGAACTCCCAGCCAAGAGAGGATTTAACCTTTTTCCAATGGGAGAAAAATTTGACTGTGATTCACCCTCTCCTTTTAGTAACTGCATTACCCAGCTTGTAACCAAAGAGCACTGGGGTTGCTGGGATCTGTACAGCAATCCCAGGATAAAGCCCAGTGGTCTGTGGTAAGAAGCCATATGAACAGGTGGTATCTTCTGCCCTCTAGGTCAGTGATCTGCTCCCAAAAACATTACCTTATGGTCTGATTTAAAGAAGGCCTGAACCTCTAAAAGCTCTGAAAATGCTATACAGTGCATTAGAAATGAAATGGCAGAGTAACTCCATAGCCTAAGACTCCCATTTCCTAGCATGGATATGCTGCCTCATGAACAATGTCAGGCACAAGTGCTTCAGTAAATTATACAAGCACAGCTACAGCTATACAGGTCAGTCTTGAACAACTGAACTCTAGCCATGGAAGGGCTACATGCTTGGAGAATCTCACCTTACACAGTGGCAATATACATTCATACCTGCAGCCACACATTACAGCTGTCTTTCATCTCCAGTCCAGAACTTCTGAGAACAGAACTTCTGAAGGAGTTTTAAGTCAGAATAACCTGATTTTATTACATTTATCTTTTTATAAAATGGTTGCTTTTAGAATATACACACTAGAAAGCTTAAATTAAAATGTTTGTGATATTTTTTTCCCATATCTTTCACAACCTTCCTTGAATCACAGGTACAAACAGTAGTTTGGGAAGCATGGAATTAAAAGCTAATTTTCTAGATTTTCTATAGTCAGCCAGATCCCATTTCTCTAAAATAAAACTTCCTTCCTAATCCTTCCAACTTCAGTACCTTGTTTCCTCCTTTTACAAGGGCTGCCCTCAGGCGTTTCCGTCAGGAGGTGAAGGAGGAAAGTTCTTTGACACGAGAAGGATTACTTGATTCATTGCCTAGAGTGTTTGTCCTAGGCTTGCATTTCCCTGTATTATTTCCTCTTTTTTCCCCCTTTTCCCATAGGAAGGCACTCTATTTTTGTGCTAACATTGTGCCATGTTTGCACTATTTTTACAGCTCTGTTTTGGTGCTCTAAATCTTCATGAATTAGGGAAGAGGTGGTTGACTCATAGTACGGGATTTTTCTTCTCATTTTCTGAGAAATTTTCACCAGTGCTATGGACTGCTCATCCAGGGGAAAAGCTAGTTACAATAAATGCAGGGTGGTGTTTCTTTTGTTTGTTTCCATTTTTTAAATTAGGTAATTCCTGTAATAAAACAAAACAATCTAACACATAGTGAGCTGATAACACAATGTGAAATTCTGCAAGTAGGATGCATGGTAGAGGCCACAATGACAGACAGAGAACGCACAATTATACTACAATTCCTCAGAGCACATTTAGAATGATCAAGACTCATGACACAAACTTTGCACATATTAGCTTAAAAGATGCTCCACATAGAGCATGCTAATACAGCAGTAAGACTTCTACTCTTCTCTATGGGAGTCAAAGAATCTCTCCCTTCCCTCTATCTTTTCAATCTTAGAAATGCCAGGAATGCAATATCCTGTTTCCTTTGGTTTTGCTGGGGGCCTTGTGGGTGCTTTAGGAAATGTTTAAATGCTGAAACTTTAATAAAGAGCTCTGTTGTCCAAGAGAACCTCATTAGTCATGGACAATGAAAGTCTATTAATAGCAACATCAACAATATGCAAACAAAAAGTCAGAAGAGTGTTTAAAAGCCCTTTCTTCTCTCAAATGCTAAAGAGCTTCATACTTTAGTCTCATGATAGCCTCACTTTATTACTCTACAGTCAACTTTTCTGTTTGTAAAATTGTAATTTCTATTGTAAACACCCCTTCCCAGAAATTGCCTTCTGCTTTTGGAAAGATACCTCTTTCAAGGCTTTTACAATCAATCTCAGAAAGGTAAAAGATCCTGGTTTTGTCCCTTTGAAAAATTACAGTTTTCACTTTTGAAATAGCACAACTTTTAAGAACTCTAGCCTTGAAATAACCCAGGGTAACAAGAGTGATTTCACAGTAAGTCAGGGAAGCATGGACTGTTAGGATTTTACTGTGGATGAACCTTTTACAGTAAGGAAATACCATGTTTTACTACACACCCTTACAAAGGCTTCTGAATTGTGGTGAGAAGAAACAGAAAAGATTTGTTTCCAGATGAGAGAGAGAGAAAATACAAGCACACTTACATTCAGACTACTTAGATGGTAGGAAAATTTTTCTTTAAAAAACAAATGTTTCCCTGAAAAACTTAATTAATGTTACAAACTTGATAAATGTGAATGCATGTCAGGTAAACTCATTAGGAAGAATCAAAGCTAACCTAAAAAGGAAGAGTCCATATCTCAAAATGAAAACATAAAAGGGATGGAAAGGCCCAAATAAAATAGCTGCTTTAAGCAATTTACATTCTCTCTGCTTTTTTGTAATGCAAAGCCATTAACTATATATAGCTCAGTGTCTCTTCAGTCAGCAAAAAAAATCCCAGAAACACAATCAAACCAATCCCTTCTTCTACAATGCAACATGTTTTTAATTAAGAAAGAATGCCAGGATGAAGGAGACCTTACCAGTTCAATAAGCTGAGACATTCAGTTTTTGCAAGCAGGGGAAAAGGGTTAAGGTTTTCATTGTAAACTTCACATGTTTTATGTTAATACAACTATTTCAGCCCTTTCTTGACTTTCTGATCATGTCTTTTGACAGGAAGAGGAGTATTTGTTTTGTCTGTTTTTAACTCTCAGGAAAGCAAACTAGAACTGTCCAGAAATGTCCATCCTTTATTCTGACCTCTGCCTTCCAAAAGGAGCAGTTTAGGCATGATGAATTTACCAGAGAATGGAAGTATGAAATTCCCTTTCTAATGCAAAAATCTTACCTGGGTAATCATTCTTGTCTACGTCAGAGTCTCCTCTCAGAGTGAAGCCAAATCCTGAAGGCATGGACTGAGAGGCCCAGGCTCCATTGAGAACCTGGGAAGGATTAGGGTTTAACCCATTACTGTGTCCATTGTAAATGAGCACTTTCCCTCTTCTGTCTTCTCCTGCAAATGGTGCACCAATAGCAATGTCTGCAGAGGAAAAAAAGATAAATAAAAAGAATGGACACAATTAAAAATTAACTCCTTGCAGGAAAATAGACTCAAATTGCTTCTGCTACAAACATGCAAGAACTTCAGCATTCTATATTTCTGAATGTATTCTAGTTTAAAGGCAAATATACAAAATGTTAGCAGTGTTTTTTCTGTGTCATGACAAAAGCTTATAAAATAATCCTATGAAGAGGTTATTTAGTTATACTAAATAGCCAGTCCACATTGGATTCCTCTACATATTTCCAGGGCAGTTAATTAGCTTTAATAAACCAAGATCTAATGAATGCCTGCTTCTACTTTCCTATTTTTAAACAGGTAAAAATTTTATTTGATTTCTTCTCTGACCTGTTAATAAGGAGTAGCTTTTAGATAAAACCAATTTTCTTTTCCCAGATAACATATCCTACACAGACAAAAAACTTTACCCCCTCAAATACCCAATGCTTTAGAATGCAAAAGAGAACAGTGGAATATAATGTTTTCATCTATACCAATTCATCATTTCACTGATGGACTAGTACTGAGTCAGGAATTCCACAAGAGCTCTTAGACACTGTAGAATTCAACAGTTCCATCCTTAAAAATGAGGTGCCACATCCAAGAAGCAGAATTCACAGTGCTCTTCTTAGTTTCTGTGCACAGGATGTGGAGACAATATTGTCTAGATTGAAATCCAACAGCTGTTCTGGCTGAGCTAGATAATAGAAAACAATAGAGGATATGTATCTATAGCTCTCATTTTTGGGTTCTGATCTAGGAAGTGATGCTGGACTTCTTTATTAAACTTGAATTGAGCATCTGGACTCTGGCTCTAGAGTCTTCTTGGTCTTTATACAGTGACAGAGAAAAGCAGAAATGTCTTCTGCCTACCTCATCTGAATTCTGGAGAGACAAGAGACCAACACTGCCTGCCCAGAGTAGCTGAGGGAATCTGCTATTGCTCACAGGTAGAAAACAGGAATTCTCCACCATGAGTTCAGCTGTGCTGAACTCCATGGTGGGATTCCAGGATAAATCAGTGAGGGTGCTCTCAGCAGTCACAATCCAGTGGCTCCTACCCACAGGATGGTACTCATACTTTGCACACTCTGAACCCCAGTGCACTTCTATGACTCCTGACATGAATGATCCCTTGCACAGCAGCCACACAATGAGGACACTGCCCTAGAATCTAGTGGCTAGAGCATTGTGAAAAATACCCCAGGAGGTAATTAATTTTTCCTTAGTTCATTAATTTTTCCTTAGAGGGACAACTATTCTAAAGGCTACTGTGCAAAACAGCTCTTCCAGAAAAAAAAACTTGGTGTTTTAGTTGCAAAGATACCTGCTTTGAAGATCCCTAACATCCTGGAAATAAGAAGTAAGGAAATGCATGCAGGGAAAACCAAGATGCCACTGATCATGTCTGGGAGGCTAACTCTAGGTGCTCAAGGCATCTCAGCTTTCTCAGGTAATCAAGCAGTAAGTTTAGTTGTTGTGGTTGCTTGAATACAGGCTGCCAGTTAACTTACATGAATATTTTGTTGTGTGCATGTGCTATAAGCATTTCAAAGGACTCATGCACCTGATTTTTAGTACTTAAGTACCAGTGGAAGACTGACTCCAAAATAGTACTTGTGTACTTCTGCCCAATTCTTTCATTGTTGACAAAATGCTCCATGTACTGAGTCTCACTGAATTATCAAACTCTTCCAAGCATTTGAGGAGAAAAGAACTCTGCTTTCAAAAAAATGAAACATCTTAACCAAGTAATTAAATGTTATTATAAAACAAAAGGTATTTTTATTAAAAGAACACTAGCATTTGGCAAAAAAAAATCACACTGTAGTCAATATGACTGCCCTCTTATCGGTCACTTTTCATGAGTTGGGTCTCAATATCAGTTTCATTAGCATTAGTATAAATTCTCATTTATTTCAAATATGTTACAAAGCCTTCTCCAGCACAGCACAGACACAATATTTGCTGCTTGGGCATTTGTAATTTCAGTGTTAGAAATACACTACATTACAGACAAATTACCATTATATCCATCCTGATTGAGATCCCCAAGGTGAGTGATTGCACTGCCAAATCTACCAAACACTTCAGTGCCTGTCAGAATTTGTGCATCTTGGAAGAGGAATGCACTTTCTTGCAGGTACAGATAAACTTGCCCAACTTCTTTAGGCTTGCTCTCAAATTCTCGTTCCATAAAAAGAGGAGCACCAACTAGGATATCATCTAAACTGGAAAAAACAAAAACCCAGTGTCACTGAGAGACTGAGTGTAAACAACACAGTTTATACATTTGCTAAACAAGAAGCAGATAATTATCATACAGTCAGACTAAATGAGGTAAGAAGGCACTTCTGGAGTCCCAGTTCAAACACTTGGTCAAAGCATGGTCAATTAGGGAAGGCTGTCCACAGCTATACTCAGCTCAGTTTTGAATATCTCCATGCATGGAGACTCCACAACCTCTCTGGGCAACTACTTCCAGTGTCTGATCATCATCACAGACAAAATGTTTCTTTCTAGGTTTAAATAGAACTACTTGTACTTCAATTCATGCTCACAAAAGACACTGAAAACTTACACTTTGCAATTGATGATGCAGAAGTCAGGAATCTAAGAGTGAATCTTTTGTAGATCTGTTTTACCAACAGTGCCAGCGAGAGACAAATTTTAGTATTAAATCTAGTTTTTGCAAATTGCACACCAGTAAGTGTATAAAAGAAAAAGAACCTGCCACTTTACAACAGATTTTTGAGTAACACGCACGAAACACAAGTAGGGCATCAATTAATAGAGAATGCCTCATCACTTCTTCATATAGAAACTGGGAGACAAAGCCAAAGCCCTATTTCTGAAACACTTCTGTTCAATATTAGGTACACAAGTAGTTGCAGTGTTCATATAATTTTCTGTACAGAGTATTAAAGAGAAATTACATAATCAAATCATAAAAATAAGATGCTTAGAGGAAGAAGTCTGTCCATTATGCTACTCCAAGAAGAATAAGTAAAAAGAACACAGATCAATCAAAGCATCTTTTGCATGTTGTTGTTCTAAACAGTCATGTTTCAAAACATATTACCAACATTTATTTAGAGAGAATAAAAAGATCCTTTCATGAACTGAGAAGAATAAAAACTAGTGTGATTGACAGACTCATAAAAATCAGAAGCATTCTTAATGAATTACTCTGAGATATGAAACAATAGTATCAGATTAATTTCTGAAGGTTGCTCAAGGCAAATAATAAAATAATTTGCATTACATTCAGTGGTCATTGATCATCTATATTAAGGAAATCTGTTACTGCAAATAACTAGGAATACTTGATCACAGAATATTTAATTTGGAAAACATATTCTCTTGCTCTAATGCGAAAAATTTTTCAAACCTTGTAAAGCTCACAGAAAACTTTCTATTCACAATTCATCATATTTACAATGAGGCTTTATCTATTAGCAAACCAAATAGTAAAATTGTACTACATTGTTTTTCCTAATCCTGATAGAAAAAAATCTGCATGATTCAGCAGTATCTCAGCTACTATTTTACCACAGATGTACACTATAATTCAAAGACAGACACCATAGAATTTAGCATAGAATATTTTATCTAGAAAAAAAAATTAATTTCACTGTAGAAATTACAGATTATGTGAGTTGTGACAAAATACTTCTAGGAATGTTATTTTTCTACTAAGTTTTACAGCATGTTTCCATAAAGGAAAGTGCAGTTCCAAATGTCAGGTCAGTTTGGTACAGCTGTCCTATTTTTTATGTTAGATTTTGCTCTATGGCGTAAATAACTAAAAAGGAAGGAAGCAGATGCTGACTTGACATCAAAGGTGGGATTTTCCTTTCACACTAAACATTAAAAGTCTTCCTCTACTAATGGAAGATGTTTGTGATTGGGACAGAATATCAGCTGAAATGGTTGCCATGAAACAACAGCAAAACAGAAAGAAATAATGAATGCTCTTTTCAAAATAAGTAATTTTACATATGCCATGTACTAAAAGCATCACACAGTAGCACTATCATCAATTACGATTTCAGTACCTCACAGTGCAGATATTCCCAGTACATTGGGACCCCACAGAGTTCAGTGCTGTAGAAACCATGAAATAAAAGATGTGCTTGGCTCCCTTGAATATTTTACAAATGAGCAATTTTAAGACTAAAGGAAGATTTTTTTAGAGATGACAAGGAACCAAATGACTGAGAATCAGAAAGCTCTCAGCATACTGATGTAAAATAAATAGATACCCAGATACCTTTAAAACCCCGGTCCATAGAGCAATATCTAGAGTGCCTAAAATGGTGAAAAGAGAAACTATTGTGTACTAAACAGACTACCTATTGTGTACTAAAACTGTCTAAGCAGAAGCCTAACCCAGAACACAAGATTCACCAGGTGATAGAGAAAGCAAGCAGACAGGAGCTGGAGGTTGTTAAACAGGGAGCACAGCATCCCAGTTAGAAGTGCACAGTACTGGATTATTTTTCCGGTAAAATTTCAACTTTGTTAAAATAAATGACAATGACTGTATAAAACGCATGAACAGTCCAGGGAGAAGGGACCACAATCTGGTAGTTAAGATGGCTCATCTTCTGATGTACTGCGGGACAGGTGGAAGGAGGGCAGCCATTTAATACACTCATCTATTTTTCAACTGGTTATGGGCAGCAGAGCCACTTGGAGCACCCACAAAACTTGGTTTGTCTTCCCTCCAGGTACTCAGATGTATTGCCCCCACCAAGGTCTTCCTTTCCTCACCCTCCTAAATTTTCCCCTTTCTCCTTCAGAGCTGAGCACTGTAGGTCAAACCACGCTGCTTCAGCAAATCCTCTGCAAGAGGGAACTCTCCCTTAGGCAATTCTAGAGGTTTGGGATTAGAGTTTGGGTTTTTTGTGCTGTCACAGCAGTGTACTATAGCTAGAAAGGAAGAGTTTGTCAGCTACCCAACTCTCTCTGATCCTCATTTATTTTCTTCTGCTTCCTCTTCAAGTGGGTAAAATAAGCAAACAATTGCTGCTTACCCTACTTTATATTCAGTTCCACCTTCCAGCTTCTGTAACTTAATTATTTAGAGAGCAAGCAGTCAAGGGGGCATGGGGTGTGTGTGTACTTGTTGGCTTCTAAGTGCCTATGTGGTTAGTATGATGCATTTTATTGGTGAAAGAGGATATTTCAATTGGCTTTCTAAAATGTAGGGGTTTGTATTTACAAAATTGAGAGTTCTGAGTCAAATTCAGTTGGATGTGATTACCTCTAAAAAGCCATATGAGTAAATAAAAGCAAAAGCCCCTGGACAGTAATATTAAACCATGAAATGCAGTTCAGTGTGCAGTGGTATTTTGAACTGGTTCATTACATTTCATTACTGCACTAAGATGCTAGAGCTAACATAAATTATATATTAATATTTGCTCCAACACAGAAAAGTAACCAGCCAGAATTACTTCCCTTCTGATTAAAAAAAAATCTTTAAAAAGCACAAAGCTGACCACCTGCTGAGACTGTGTGCCATTCCTTTGTATCCTGCAGAGTCATAAAAAGCAGGAATATGGGAAATGTCAAGAGGTCAAAGTATAACTATGGAAAGCTTTGATATAGGCCAAATAAAAAAACAGTAAACAGTTTATTTCACTATTTTTATTGGACTGATTCAGCCTAAATTAAAAGTGCTCTCTTTTTCTCTCTTTACTAGGAATGTAGCTTGTAAGTTGATGGCAAACTTGATTTATTAAGTTTCATTGTGGATTTCTCAGTATTAGCAACAGGCAACTAAAGGGTAGTTCAAACAGTATCTTCAGTTTTCCTGTTCTGCCTACAATCCTGATGTTGTGCAGATAAAACTACATTATTCACTCTGCTATACTCACAGAACTGCTGGGCCAGTTCTACAGAACTTTTTTTCCTAAGATGAGCCTAATCTTTGAGCCATACCATGAGTCTTATTACAGCAAAGCACTATTCCTAATAATCTTGTGTTCTTTTTTTCAGCAAATAACTTAATCAGGTTTCTCATACTGATGGGGCCACCACTACATCCTCATTCTTAGCTGAACAAAATGCCTAAGTGAATTTGAAGTGTTAATTTCCTTTTGCTTTTTCCCCCTCCTTTACCCTTCCTTTCAGATAAATATTTCTATTGATTATATGTGCAAACCAGCAAAGGCAGGCTACATATCTAATCAGACATGTTTATCCAGTAGAGCTTTTTGTGTTTTGTTTTCTGTGGGATGTTTGGATCTCAGGAAGAGTCTTTAGATTTCTTTTAAGATATAGACTGGGAGACCACACAGGCCTCAACAGCAGTTTGATTATATTATTGACATAAACTGTGGTTTTAGAGGTACACAGAAAATATGAGACCTGCCAAGTAACCCTAGGGTTAACAGGAAATAACCTGCACAGGAAACAGTTCGGTTCAATGAGAAGTTAGATAAGTACCTTGAAAGTCAAATGAGTGTCTGTTGCACCTTAAATTAATGTTCCTTCACCCTTTCACATTTGTAATACATCAGCAGGACTAAATAATTTCTCATTCTGTATATGAGAAAAACCAAAATTGTCAAAAGCTGTGATACTATGACAAAATTTAATCTCAGAAATTTGGTAAGATTTGAGTTTTGTGAAGCCACCATGGAAACTGCTGAAGCTCCTGTTCTGTTGTTGGTTTATTTTTGTAACTGCAATAACATTTACCACCTTGTTACTTTTCTCTTGTAAAACTCAGTCTTTAAAGGGTCACTAGTCACTGATGAGAAGAAATCACTTAACCCAGAAAAATTATTTCATGCACTATGTTTTAAGCACTTAATAAGAAATGATCACAAGAAAAACATATGATGCAGACACATCTGAGGCATTTTGCAATAAGCAATAGTACACCTCATCTCTAAATATTATCCTGGCTCATCTTTGTGCAGACTTCAAGCCTCTGAGTTTCAGGGATCTTTATCTCCTTGCTAGATAGCTACTATAAATATTCTCTTACTAAAGTCTTCTTCTGCTAAAATATTTAATCAGACTTTACATGACTTGAAAGTTAACAAGGATTTTGTTCAACAGAGCCTGAAACTTCCAAGTATCTTTGGGATAATGATCCCCAGGTATCATGACTCTGAGATTGGAGCATTGTTATCTCTCTGACACACACAGTGCCTGCTGTAACAACTATGGGGCACAGACAATTGCTGGTCCTCAGAATGATAAACATGGATGGCCAACCAGCAGGTGCTGGAATGAAGAAAGAAGAGCTGGTGACATTAGAAGGCTTTTAAAATTGAGAAGTGAAGCTATGGATGAGAAAATTTTCCTCTATATGAGAAAGATGAAAGTCAGAAGTTCATTCTCCCAGTCTCTTCCCTGTGGTGGAATTTATTCACTGTTCTTTTACCTGGATCTGTTTCCTAGGACTCTGGACACTCCTCTGACAAACTGCTTTGAATAAACATTCAGGAAGATAAACTCACCCAAACTAGGCCTGCAAATACTCATGCCACCATGGCTGCACAAAGATAAGTCTATGTGCGAAATTAAAATTAGAGAAGCAGAGAAGCCAAGAGAAGCATTTTGAGGCATAAAGCACCTGAAAAACTACATTTCTTAATAAATATCAGTCATTGCTTCTATTAACGTTCAGTGGAGCTGAATATATTTTGTAACTTACCCATCATTGTTAACATCAGATACTGCAACTGTGTACCCAAAATAGGACGCCATCTGAAAATAGATAACAACAGATAGGCTTTCATATTTGATATAAAATGTAAAGGTTTTTTTACTGATAATCCTCTTTGATGCACTAGATATACAATATTTCATCACACAGTTGCTTGACATTACCTGCTCACCAGTGAAGTTCTGGATAAAGGTCAAGTCAGAGGAATTAATAATTGAGACCTGGCAACAGAAGAATAAGGAAAGTTTCAGGCACACATGGAGATGCTACAGCATGACATCACTGCAAAAGAATTTAACACACTAAAAGATGGTCCAAGAAAAAACAGCTCTTTTTCTGTCTCACCACCGCTATCCTGTATGGTCTTGAACAAATTGCTGAGATTTCATGACCCTCAGGTTCCCCATGAAAAATATAGGGAAAAGTATTTCCCTTCCTTGGACATTGAACAACAGCAAATCACGCACTATCAACTAATCAGTGACTAGGCATGAAAACATGAACTTAAAACATAAAGAAGTATACACAGATACATAAATGTATATACATACATATACACACCTTTTTCCTAAAAATTCTACAAACAAGTCCCAGAGACACCAGGAATTTGGGGTCCACAAAACTAGAGAATATGTCTGTGATCTATTTTCCCAGTCAGGTTACTTGTGGAACTGTTTGCCTACAAGTTAACAGCTGTATTCACAAATGTATATTGTTTTCTCCCTTCACTTCTAACTGCATATCATGACTCTTTGCATCTGGATTTCAGTGTATACACTTACAGCACTGACAGTAAACAATGGGTATGAATAATCTGAACTTGCACTCCTCTGCATTGTGGACACAGCACTGCACAGAAATATGCTAACCTGTGGCTGAGCTTAGGTCTGATAACACTCAGTGGGTATAGGGATACTAGTCAGACTCAGAGCATGTCATTGTAATTGTGGCTGCCTAGTGAAAACAGACTTCAGAAGGGACTAAGTGCTTACCATCCAAAACCCAAACCAGTAAAGGCATTCCAACCCAGCCAGATACACCTGAGGGTGAAAGTCAGTGGCAGTTTTCCCTGATTTGAAAGTTTTGTATGAAGGAGACAGAAAATATAATGCAGCATTTAACCTTACAAATAGCTTAATTGCCTTCCTACAATGAAAAACATAAAATGAAGGTCCAGTACATACATAGCCAAAGTTCTGTGCTCCCCTTGGGACTCCAGCAACCAGCTCTGAAAGGATAAACGATCAACAGTGAACTGGTTTTGCAATCTGAGCTGTACATTCAAGATGTATCCCACACCACTTAAAACTTCCTTGATACATATTTCAAATCCCTTAGGATCTGTATCTGAAAGACTTGTAAATCACTTCAAGCCATAATTTCATAGGACTGTAGCATTCATTCAGTTCATTTACTTGCACAAGACATTTCACTCTGACTTTTGACCCATCCATTTCTGTTTAGCATTGCTTAGCATAGTACAGTATAATAAAGTTCTTGGTAGAATTCAGCCTGCCACCTGATAGCTGTGTACTGATGGAACAAGAATTAGTTATGGTATCACATACTAGAGAACAGAAGCTAAACAGAACTGTTCTTACAAATACTTCTTTTGTTTTTGCCTACCAACAGTTTGTCTCATCCATTATTTCACTTGATGCCACATAAGTGCTTGACAAATTCTGCCCAGTCTATCTAAAAGCATTACAAGGAAATTTTTGTGAGTGGCACTGGAAGGATCCGCTGAATAAGAACATTAAACATTAGACCTATCTGCCTTCTAGGAGTAATTTTGCTCAATGACAAAATCTTAAACAACTAGTAGAAAAAATGAGTAAAAAAAAGAAGGAAGAAGGAAAGTCCCAGCCTACAGTCTTGTGATCTAAACCTTGCCTCATTAGGATATCCATATCAGAAGACAGCAGCAGGAACTTCAGATAACAGAGCACCTCAGCCACCTGCTTGTACTGACCAAGCCTTCCTCTGTTTCTCACTAGGATCATGCACTCCCCTCTGACTGAATGTGTTTGCTCAAGGGGAAGGGGAAGTACTAATGAAAGCCTGAACATGGCACAAAATGAATCTCGAGTCAGCCAACTATGCAATATTTCTGTGCCAGTCATTCACATGAAGTCAAAATTCAAATCAAATTCAAAAATCATCCATTATAGAACTCTGAGTATGCATTAAAAAAACAGCCAAAGATGTAGCCTTCCATTACTGGGATACCTCTTTTTACACATTATAATGCTTGGCTTAAAACTGTGTTGTTTTGGATTTATTATTTGAATCCTTCATAATGCAGGACAGGCAACTTTAACTGCAGAGGGGGTTACGCAGCAGCAGTTCTGGAGCACTGGGTTCACTTGTGGAAATGTACTATGTCCCTACTGGCTTTGTGAGTCTGGACTACAGAGCTGTTCAGCCACTCAAGAGAGTCACACCTTATGGAATTCAAATTTTTGTGTTACTTTAATTCTGTTATGTTATACTGTCTCAGGAAAGAGCTGTCTCTGAGAATACTGAGTACAGACAGCTTAAGTCTCACCAGCATTTCAAACGTATAATAGGTATGTTTCTATGCAGAGACCCAAAACAAGGAATTTAGTCTAAAGTCCATGGCCATATGGTTTTTATTCAAGTACACAGGTGCTTACCTTGTTCAGAATCCCCAGTAAATTCCCCAGCAGCCACTGAGTATCCTGTTTAAAGATAAATTAAAAAAAACAACCCAACATGATAAACCAATTTTTTTCAAAAAATATGCAAGGAACATCAGATTTGTCTGTTCAATGGATCTGCTGAATGCAAGTTTTCTGACATTAGTATACTAAAACTGTGCGGAGAAAAGGAAAATTGTTTATCACACTACTATGACTAAATTAATGTTAGGTTCGAATGTATAAAAAATTGATCCCTCTTCTCCAAAAATGAGCTTCTAAATCAATAATATTTACTAATTCATCTGAAAAAAAACACTAGGTACTATAGTGTTTTGCCCTAATAGCTACTGACACAATTCAGGTCCTCATTATTGTACTGTAATGTGTGAATGTCCTGGCTGAGCTTTATATGGAAAACAGATTTCCAAAGATGGAGTAAAACACCTCTTGGAGCTTTGGAAAACCTATGAGATAGTAACTACTGTCACAGAAAGGAAATACTTCTGGATTACATCAGGGGCTTTAATTTCAAATCCATGGGAAACAGTGCAAGGACACACCTTCAATTTCCACTGAATCTCTTCTATAACTGTGTGAAGAAAAACCTGCTTTACATGCAGAGACATGTCAGTATCAAGAAATTCTTAGAGATCAGTACTAATAAGTGGATAAGGAGACTTTTTTTCTATTAATTACATAAAATCTTCAACTTTCCTTTTTCATTGCTTACTTCAATTGTATCTTTTAATAATTGCAAATAATTTGGGTATTTGTGTAGTACTGTACAAAATACCACAGAACTGGATTTAAATTTATCTAATAAAAATTGAAATTGTCTTTAATTACATTAAGTTCAATCCATCATCTTGTAATGAAAAAATACATAAATGGAAAGATTTTGTATTTCTGCCTAATTATTTAAGATCAAATAATAAGAACCCTAACAAGCCATTCAAGATCTCAACCTTCAAATCCTGTTGCTGTGCATCATTTTAAGAGTGTTAGTAATGTCCCTGAAGTAACCAGCAAACCACAGATTTGCTGTTGGGTTAAGGCAAAACATGTTCAAATCCTCTCACAACTGGGACAATAGTAATGTAGGGCTTGTTTTCATACTTATGTAAGACTCATCCTTTTAGAACATATTGCTAACTCATACAGAACTCAGCTTACCCATGTAATTGTCATCATATGAGGGTGGTGCCACTCCTGTTTGCTTCTCTCGTGCCAGTTTCCTCAGAATATCCTTGAAGGAATAATTTGCAATGATGTCTGCAACACTTGCTGTGATTACCTGACCTGGATTCAAACAGCTTCATAAATGAAAGGCACCTAAAAGAGGGCCAGATTCTATAAAACAGGGCTAGCAGAACACCTGAGCAGAGCAGAAAGGAGCCTTGTACCACACAAAGAGCAGATAACTCCGCTCAAGCTTTCTCCATTATTACCCTGGAAGTCTCAAGAGTATACATAAATCATTAAAACAAGGCACCGAATCTCTATTGAACCGTTACTAAAACACCTTCAGATCCATTTCAATCTACTAACTCAAACTAAAGCACTGCACTGTACAAATAGAGTAGACCAATGAAAGCAATTTCTCAATGGAGAATTCAAAGCTATGAATTCCCTACAATCACAATCAATTAGATCTTGAAAAAAAAATGTAAAAACACACATCAAAGAGGCTGACAGTGGGCAAGCTGGTAGGCAGAGGCTGGGAATCAGCTACACCATACATGTAAGAACAGGTTAAAACAAAAATAACCCCTTAATTCTTTACCAAAAAAACTTCAGGGTTTATCTACACAAGAAACTGCATCTTGGAACATACAGTGATGCCACAAATGAACCTAAAATCCATATCGATAGCTATAAAAGATGGTGTTCAAACATGAAGTAACAAACATTTTTAAAATAGTACATTTGTTCTACAAATATTAGCAATTTTTAAACCTGCAACATTTCTAGGGAAAAATTCAATTAATTATTTATTAATTAAATTAATTAATTATTTATTTATTAAATTACAAATATACTAAAATGCCAACATAAAAATAGTTATTTGCATTTGTTTAACTTTCTATGCAACCCACATCCTGGATTTTCATGGCTTATTTTTATGCTCAGTTGCTTGTTAAACAATTCTTTTGATTTACATTTGTTGAAAATAAGATCAGAGACTGGTTATCTTAAACCAAAGAAACAGTGCAAATTTAGAACAGCAATACTTTCTCCTTCACTTCTTAGATCCAGTTAACCAGCCAGATGAACATACCTTGCCAATAAAAACTACCGGGCCCGCCTACTATCAGGTCTCCATTCTACAAAAAGGAAAATTAAATAAAATTACATAACAAAAGAACAAAATTACATAACAAAAGAAAAAAAAATAACCACAGCAAAATTAGGCATGCATGGGAAAAAAAGCAATTTAAATGACCAAAACAATATCAGAATCATGATAAAGGAGAATAGCCATGCTCAAGGAAAGGATGTAGATGCACAGATGTGCAGGACAATCCACAGTTTAAAAAAAGTCAAAATCACCCTATGCATCTGCACTTGAATGAAAGCCATTTATTTTACCGCTTATTTCACAAAATGCTGCTTAATTGTAACAAAACAAAGTTAACAGAAAAGAGGGTGCTCCAATTCAATGAAATGACAGTAAAGTTTTAGAGATAATTATACAATGCAGCTGCAGAACGCTCAAAAGAGTGGCAATGGTCAGGTCAAAGTTACCTGAAGCCCTGGTGCTGTAAATCATGGCCCAGATAACAACAATCACACAAAGTTTATCCTTTCTCCCACAACATTGTTACTGAACCCCCTTGGCATTTGAGAAATTCTAGTCCTTTCCCTTAGGTACTTTCATCCCCACATGAGAATGGTTTTACTCAATGACTAGTCTGCCACCAAAAGCATCCTTTGGTTATTTTTGTGGATGTGACAGCCAGAAAATTAGATAACTTTTCTCAGAATCAGCCTGGGAGACTTTAGGGAGCTGGAGATAAACAATGACAGCTTATTATTAAAAACAACCTGCAGGTGTTGTATTCCTACTATCTGTTTTCTTATTATTTTCAAATATTGTTTATGAAAGGGCATCTTGTTAATTAGCCAATAAGGTGAAATGTATTAACTAAATGACCAATCAGTCCACTTGCATTGGAACAGTGTCTAAAAAGGAGCAGTCCAAAATAAATGGGTGCTATATCCCACTCAGCCTTCTGATGCTTTGTGCCATTTCTCACTAAACAGTGACATATTTTAACTTTTTAAAACTAATTGGTGCCTCCCCCACTCCTTCCTGAAAGTCAAGTAAAGCATTTTGAGTGGGATAGACTGAGATAGAAGCACATAGAAGTTTTTGCCTAATTATCTGTTAAGATAGACTGAGACAAAGTGGAATGGTGCAGAGAAAAGCAGGTGCTGATTGAATATTTCTTTTTATTAATGAAACAAGAAAGTTTGAATCTTGAAAAGAACTTGCAACAACTTCACAAAAGTTTCCATATCCAACAGCATGGAGATAAACTCATGATCACTGAGATAGCACTTGAACCCTGCAGATATATCATAATGACATTTGGTCAAAATACTTCAGAAGCAGAATCTCACCTTGTAAAAATCCAAGCTGAAACCTGCTTGACAAAAGCCTTGTCCTTCAGGATCTGCATTGCCTGCAATTATGAAGGAAGAAGCATTTTATTGGTTTTAGTGCATGTGGAAGATAACACAGATACTCCTGGAGCTGTTACACTATGAAATGTAACACTGCCAAAATATGTGAAAAACTGTATTATTTTTTAGAAGGGGCAGAGCAAATCAAGACCTTCTGCAAGACCCCAATCATGCAGTCCCTTGTGAACATTTTGAAAAACAGGACCTGCTACTTGGGGCTTTCTCCTCCCACTGCCAAGAAAGGACCCTTGAAACAACCATCAAGGATTCAGTTTTAATTTAGCTGGAGATAAAAAAGTAAAAAAAACTCAACAAGATTGTAGAATGCTCATCACAGTCTGATCTGTCATAAATACAAAAATAGGTGTTTACTCTAAGGTGTTCTCAAAAAAACTTGATACAGTGTAAGGGTCAGGATGTCTACATGGAAAAACAACTTTCCTGTTTCTGACTACTTCTATTTCTATTCTCCAAATCCTTATATAATTGTGCAAAGTCTGTTGCCCTGCATCTTATGGCAATTCTGTGTGTGCCAGAAGACTGCAGGATTGCAAAACTGAGAGTAGGAACGGCCACTTGAACTCTCTCTTCAAACAACATAAGCCTTTCCCAAAGGCCCAGTGAGACATCAGTCCATCCATAAACCAGATCTAAAGGACACCTTTTCTTACAGATTCAGCTTCTTTCTGTGCCTGTCCATGCAGAGACAAGGATTAGCCTTTAAAAGGAAGATACAACAAAACTCTGCTTAAAGCCCTACTACAATAGGCATAGAATGCTGAACAAGATGAATGACTGATAATAACCTAATGTGGTATTTTCTGCAGACTTCTAGGTGGCTGAATCTGGTTCAAAATATGCACGTGGTTTATCCCTATTCCCCAGGAAGCAAGGCCCAGAGACAGCTACCACATGCTCAGAACAGCACAGAAAAGAGTGTGGAACAGCAGTGTTAATGTGCATGGCTTTCTTCCATGCTGCAAGCTCTTCACAAATGAGCTCTTGTGGATGATATTGGCATGAACAATGACACAGGCTTGTGTGTTTCCATGCAGAGTCTGATCTTCAAATCATGACCTTGTGATGAGACATTTTATACTCAGCGTAAGTATGAATAATTGGTTTAATATGCTGTCTGGTTCTTATCTAGATCTGTTTGCTATGTTTTAAAGCCACAAAAATTGAACCAATTATAGCTCATGACTATAACTGCACACACTTAATTTACTTAGTTTCTTCTCTTTCAAGGAATTATACAATAAAACATCCAATTATAGGCATATAGTTTAATGTTAATTTTTACTTACACCCTCATTCAATGCAATAACACCATCCAGTAACTTCATTCAATCAAGACTCAGTGGTGTGAAGACTGAAAGAATCAACACACTCAGTGCAAAACCAATTCCTTCATACAGGACTGCTCATGTAAATACTTACTGTTGCGACAAGGTGAATATTCAGCATAGGCACTGAAGTTCTGGATTGCTACATAGCAGGTGCCAACAGGGTCCTTCTCAGGGCTGTCTTTAAGGGTTCTCCAATGATACAAAGGAGCACAAGCCTATAAAAACAGAAACACAAATCAGAAGACACACATACTTTCACACACTCTTGCATTTGGCAAATGCAGTTTTTAGTAGGCTGTGTACAAGGATTCTCTCTCGTGTTGTATTATTCACATAGCAATGATGACAGAAGAAAATGCAGGATCACTGCTTCATATAATTTCACTATAAATTTTCATTGAAAAGCACACTGATGTTTCACTTACAGCCCTTGGCAGGTGAAATCATTCAGGGACTGCAAGTCACATTTAAGCCATGTTACAAATACTCTCTAGGTCTGCTTCACAAGTAACACCTTTGCTCCATCACTGCTCATTGCACAGGAGCTGATCCCATAATTTAAGATGCATATCATATATATATGTGGCTGAAGGCAATCCCAGTTCTGTCCTGGTGTGTTCTAAGATAATGGATGTAGCAGCAGAACTTACTCCACTTAGCAGGAGATTTGTCAGGTTGTTGTCATATGGTCAATCACAATCATCTGAGTGTCTGCCTGGTAATAACCCCTTATAACCTGGCTCAAATCTTCATAGACAGGATACAGTTACAAGGCATTCAACAGGCTGAATGAATAGTTTTGTGCTAAGAAACCTTTGGGTAGATATTTAATCTTCCATGTTACAGCAGTGGTGTTACAAACATGACAAAGATAGAAGATATACAACTTGTGTAGAGAGAAGCATTATCTTTTCTGAAGGTAATCCAGATAATTAGAAAAATAAGAACAATGAGCTCTCAGGACTGCAAGTCATTCCTCATGGTTTCCTGTGCCCTGAAACTTTTCATTGCCTGGGAGCATGAAGATGCTACCTCTCCCTGCAACATTGCCTCTCTAGGATGCAAATAAATCCTTCATTCATGTCCTGTCTTGTGCTGCTCTTTCAATTACAAAGCTGTCTACCTCTGGCAAGGTATTGCTGCTGTTTACAATATTGTATTAGCCTTCATTCAGCAATCAGTACTAGCTGTATGAACCACAGTGCTACTGAGAGCTTACCACCAGCAAGAGCTTGTGGAGCAATGGCCTAAGGAGCAGGGACACCTCACACACCCCTGCCTAGGAAACCTTGCATATTGAAGCAGAGAGCACAACCAGAGGGCAGCAAAGAAGAGTCTGTGTCCTGTGGGGGTGATTCTAGGTACAGCTGACATCAAGCCAAATGGATTGAAACAAGAACAATATAATCATAAATGCTGACTTAATGCAGTTTACTATTAAATCTGTAGCTTAAAAAACAAATTCCTGACAGTTTGATGACATTTTCTCTTAGCCTACAAATCTTAACAGACAAAGCTTTCCAGCTTTGTTGTCCAATTTTTTTTTGCCTGAAAAGTGTTGACTATACCTCAGTTTCAGATTCTGAGAAGAGCTACACCAAATAAATGAAATTTGGTCACTACAGACACAGCACATTTGTTGGAGATGAGTTTTTCTAATCACTTGATTAAGATTTCAAAAATGGTGGCAAGAAGTATTTTATTTCAATTTGTGAATTGTTTAGTAGAATACAGAAAATGAAAAATGTTAATTTATTTTTATAAATTTTATGTTTACTTAGCTCTGTAACAGAATATGGTGATGTTTTACTCACTACCAGTTTCATTTCAAAATCCTTCTGTAGGTTAACTACAAAGCATTCAATATAAAGGAAAGCATTTCCTTTCAATACATCCTCCCTTATGACTACTTTTTAAGTAGTAATTGGAAGTTTTAATCAAATCCCAAGGTAAATTTTTATTTGGTAATTGCAAAAACTAGTAAAACTAATGACCAAACCAATTATTCTTATCACAATTACTTCAGTGCTGTTTTTTAATTTAAACCTTAATGCAACTGGAAATATAAAATATCTATGTATAAGCAGCATCACCAGCACTTCACTAGGCAATAAAAATACCTGCCCACTGCTAAGCACCTATCAATACAGGTAAAACATTTAGTGAAATGAGAGCAGATACTGCATCAATTTGATAGCCATCTTGATTTGGAGCTGTTTTTATCAGCTTTTTTTGCAGCTGTGCCACCATCACTATGAGACAGATCTTCAAATCAATATAAATGTGACAAAAGAGATAAGTGTTTTCCTAACTGAACATTAACAGAGGTTCTTGGCTTTCAAAACATTTCATGACATCCAAATACACGCAATTTCACTACATTCTGTGTTTAACATTCCAGACATATCTCCATAATACCAAACATTTTATAGCAGACAGCTATCGGTTCCTGTGCACCTCTGAAATATGTCCCTTATCTGTTAAAAAATATCATTCACTTCCACAACAATATGGCATTCTGCTGTTTTCACATGGCAGCAGGATCATCTTCACTTGATCAGTTCAACCTGATTTTATAGGTTGATTTTGTTTCTTGAATTATATACATCCTCTGTTTTATAATTAATGCATAATCAGAGAGTTCTTTCCATAATGCACACATAGAAAACTATTAAAAATATACATTTGAGAAAAAGAGACATTTTTTCCAAATTAATATCAAATGCATAAGACTTACCACAACTTTTTCTTTATGAGCTTTGACTGTTGCCCCAAACCACTGATTTGTCTTAAATTCAATAGGTTCCCTGGTGCCATTGACTTTAATTTTCCTGTTGTCTGACAAAGAAAGAAGCGCTATGTTGACACCTTATTTATAACACAAGTGAACAGATTAACAGATATATTACATTGCATCCACTTGTCATCATCCAACCCATTTCATAGGAAACTGACATTTTATTATCATTTAACCTTTTCACTGGTCAGCCAAAACCAGCTTAAATTCACACATGAAAATTCAAAATAATAACACTTAAACTTTAGAAAAGAATACACAGGACTGGAGTAAGAAATGCTGTGTTTCCCCTTGGGGGAAAAAAACCCATTTACTTGTAATTTGTGATGAAGAATGAACAAGAATCTACAAAAATAGGTGAAAAGCCCTAATAAGTTTTCTCAGATGTAGTAGAAACTTTCCATCTAAAAAGCATGTTCCATAATTAGATTTTGTCAAACAAATGACATTTCTCAGCATGCTTATTCAAAGACCAACACTACAGATAGCAAAGGACTTCGTTTTTAACAGAATTACATGTGTACACACTGTCACAAGAGACAGCTTCCTAATGTTGCTTTATATACACTCTTGCAGATGTCAGCATAAGAGAAGCCATCTGGGCAAAGATTCAGGCCAATTATAATGCATTTCAGGTTGTAATAAAAAGCAGACATCCCTTCCCTTCACCCTCAGTTCTCTGAAGTAAACTGATTTCCCATATGTTCATGAGCTATGCTCTTCCCTTACCAGTCATTCCTAATGAACTTTTCAATTTATACATAAGAAGGGCATTACTCCTACCCCCTTGTATCTGCATTCCGTTATGTTTGTTTCTGGTTCATGTCAGGAGGGATTTCAGAAGAATCAATCCTTTTTGGTCACTTGAAGTCTAAGTGAAAATAAAACCACATACTGTATACCTTGGAATGTTAAAAAAAATAGTGTCAGATCATATTCTAAGGATTTACATACTTTTTAAATAACTGAGAAAAAATATGGCCAACATTAAAAAAAGTCAACACTCCTTGGGATTTGCCCAGCAGGAATACAGGAGACACCTGAATGTTTTCTAGGATGTTAGCTCAACACTGACTTACTTATGGTAACTTCATAAATGTTATAAACTGAATCAGAAAGAAAAATGTATCATACTTGGAGAACAAGGGTACTCTATCTCTGTATTTTTTCCCAATAAACATGAAAGAAAGCTGAATGAGAATGACTCTTCTAAAGTTTGAAAGTCTCTAAGGAAACATCTTCCTTTGTGCAAGTATTTGCTTCTGCGCTGCACCAATTACAGCAGCTACTGTTGAAGTTCAGGCTTAGGGAGATAAATTTCAGGAATATTTAGCTCTTAAAAATTCAAGAAATATAATTTAAAGTTACTCTAAAAATACTAATTTTAAAAATATATTTTGTTGAATTTAGGCCTGAACATGTGTGGATGTGAGACAGCGTATTTGACACAGGGCATGGCAGGCGCTGCCAGCTCCTACCTAATTGTTGGCAACACTACTTTCAATTATTTTTTCCAGTGAAGTCAGACTCTTTCAGACTTTAAAGATTTCTTTTTTCTTTTTCTAATGCTCCAGCAGATCTGAATATGATCAATGTCCACAGATGGGGTCTTGATACAAACAGAACTTTTGAAGCTTGAAAATCAGCCATGACCAGCTTACAGCTGCCAGTGCAAGCCTGGCTCTGAGGATACTCGTGGCCTGTATTCTAACTTAAAAGGAGCTTACATTTTCAATCAAAACAATATATTTGTCTATTGGCAAAGTATACCAACATTTGAAAAGAAAATAAATTTTAAAACTTGGACAACCATTTGCAGGATTTATCAAACTACAGCTGAATTTACCAATAAATCTGCAAGAACTGTACATACACACATGCACAATCCCACCTCATTTAGTAGCATGTGGTGTAGTAGGAATCCATCATGTGGCATGGGATTTTCATTATAAAATAATTTGGAAAATATCACAGAAATAGAAATTAACAAATACGGGTTTTTCCCCCTAGATAAATCTCTTTTGATAGAAATTTTCTAATCAGTTTTGTTCAGCATCCTTGCTAGAGCTATGGAGTCATATTCCCAGTTTCTGAGGTTGGGCCTTAAAATACAGTTTAGTCTTTTGTACGTAACAACTAATCAGTATTTCAGAATGCTATAAAACCTCTACTGTTTTCCATGTATCTTTAGCAAAATGAGGCAAGATACACAACTAACTTGTTTGAATACACCCAAGCTGTCATTACTGTGCCTTGCTGCAATTGTCCACTCCTGAGCTAGTCACCCACTTACATGTGAGGACATGATCTAAGCCACTTCTTTTCCTCCTATACCAAAACTCTGAGGTCAGAAGAATCATGGCCTAAAAGTACCTAAAGTACCTTTTTTTTTAAACCAACTGTAAATAGCCCTGGATGACCATCTTAGATTAGACTCAGATAATGCTGTTCATTTACCCACATAAATCCCAATCCAGCTTAAAAAAACCCCAAATCTGCATATTTCTCAAAACACCATCTAAGCATTTCAAAAAGTAGCATGTCTGTATCCTGACAAACCAATTTATGACAGGGAACTATCTCTCCTTGTGCTATTATGGGCATCTGATGCCCACAGGCCAAGTCTATACCATACCTTACCCACAGCTGTATTTCTGTGAGGAGCAAACACTTGGTGGGAATTCAGGTTGCATTCCCATATTATCTTCTCTTCTGGAGGAGAGTGCCTGGCCCCTTTTAGGAAGGAGTGCAGGCTATCTTGTATGGTGGTACGTGACACTAGAGCAGGAGTAGAAGGCAGCAGCTGGGCTGGGCACACAGCGCCTGGGCTGGCCACACACAGGTCCAAGGAGTGCCGGAGCACAGCTGGATTGCTCAGAGCCAGCCCAGGAGCTGCTCCAGATGATCCCAGTTTGCAGGACTCGCAAATTTGGCTTGAGATGCAGCTCTGGAGTTACTCATAATGATACTGCCTAAGACTGCACTGCACACTAAGGCCCAGACAACCAGGAGTATGCAAAGAGCAGAGAGATTTATAAATATAAATTTAGGTATGAGAACATCCTTAAATTGCATTTCAGCAAACCCAAAGCACCTCATTCTCTACTGCAGGAGCCGTGACTCCTACACATGGTACTGCCCTACAATCCAGCTTCAGAAGCAGCTCTGGAGATACAGAAACATGATGATGAAAACCAGCATTCCTTCACCCAGTTTTTTAGCTGAGGTACCTAGTGGCTACCAAAGGGAAAAATAAAAAAGTCCCTTACTTTGCCAAAACAGTAATTGGAAAAATAAAAAAAATTTGAGTTTGCACAGCAAAAAGCAAACCCATGTTGAGAGCAATAGCACAGATTCACTTGTAGGAATTGAAGCCAGAATCTAGAGCAGGTGTTAGATATTTACACACATTTGAGTAAATTTGGGGTTTTCTATGGGAATTGGTCTTCTCTCAGTCACTAAGTCAGCATATCATAAACAGCTTAATAGGCATGAATCAAACATTTCCCTTACCAATATATATTTTTATATTAATTAATACCTGCATAGGAGATGCATGGGCAAATACTAGTAATTACTTAGTGTGATTCATTCAGCTCTTGAAAACTTTAAATAAAAAATGCAGCATCTTTCATAATTTAAAAATACTCAAATGAACAAAATCAAATCAAGGTGGTGATCATTCAAAGCTTGGACTCCATGATCTCAGAGGTGTTTCCCAACCTAAATGATTCTGTGATTCTGTGAAAATATTTAATCAAACATAACACAGGAAAACAATGCTTCTAGTCAAAGCAAAATACCTGACTGTGTAACACACCTGCAGCTCTTTCACATAAATTTTCACCATTCTGGAATTTTGAAAAGTATTATGCCTAAATGCTCTGGGTCTATTTGCCTGTTTGTCCTGGATAAACAGGGATGTTCATTAACCAGGCATCTGCAACAGGTTGAGCTACAATCTGCCCTCATCCTACATCCATGATGGAAAATCCCTTTTGAAAATATAAAATATTTAAAATATACCTGTTTTAATATGCCTGTGTATGTATCTATGCACATCCATCATATAAAAATATAGTTAAAATACAACACATGGATTTCATATATTTGTACATAATTATATATACACAGAGTAGAGGTGAACAATTACCTAAATCTATCCATATTTGTATAAAACGTGAATACAAATGTATAAAACAAACAACTATCTCTAGAAATTTATACAGGTAAAGGAAAGTGAATATCCCTGACATGGAGATAAGACTTGGAATGTTATGTACAGTTTTCAGACATCACTACTTGCAGGTGTTTGGCCAAAAGAAGACAAAGCAAAGGATGATCTGCTTGTGTTCCATCCAGTGTTCAATAGGTAGAGGGAAGAGAGTGCCAAACTCCCATGTGAGGTATGCAGCAAAAGGAAAAGGGGCAACAAGACACAAGTTGCAGCAGGGGAATTTCTGAATAAGTCTTAAGCACTAGAAGAGATTCCCCAGAGAGGCTGTGGCTCTCTCCCTCTGGGGTGGTTTCAGAAGCTGGCTACAAAAGGCTCTGAGCAACCTCAGTGAACTCTGAAAGCAGCTCTGCTGCATCTTTGGTGTTTGGGCTTACAGAAGGGAAGAGGGAGAAGGAAGGGTCCTGGCAGACTCGCTCCCATCCTCTAGAAGTGAGGGAAACAAGGGAATCTTGACAGTCCTACCACCATATCACTACTCTTATGGTAGTGATGATACTACTAGATGATACCACCTGTTACAAAGCAAAGGTAACTCAGTAACTTTGATATTAGACCCTCCCCAGAGAGACTGAATTCAAATCACACCTAAATACTCAGTGTGATCTAGGCCACTAAGCCAAACAATTGCTTTGAATTAATGCTGGGGGAAAAAAAGGGACTCCTAAGTGTTGAGGGAGAGTGAGCATATGCAAAACAGTGTCATGATGAGAAGAGTTGCTTCTATATTTAGATTTATCTGGTTCTGCAACATTCTATTTTATATCTGGTTTTTACTGCAGTTTAACTGCTATTCTTATGAGTCAT